TGTAATCCCAGCAGCTTGGGAGGCTGAAGCAGGAGGATCACAAGACCAAAGCTAGGCTCAGCAACTTAGTGAGGCCCTAAGCAACTTAGGGAGACCCTGTCTCTAAATAATCATAATCATCCTCATGAAAAAACAGGGCTGGGGATGTGGCTTAGTGGTTAAGCACCCCTGGGTTCAATCCAAGGTACCAAAAACAAAACAAACAAACAAACAAACAAAMAAAATTTGGCTAAGCAAAGAATCTATGTCATCAATCCCAAAACAAACAACAAAAAACCCAGATTGAATAAGTAATGGGGGAAAGAAGAATTAGAGGTAGAAAAAGCAATGATGTGAAAGAAAAAACAACAAYGGATTTTATTTCCTGACCAGCCACTAACTAGTCATGTGAATTTAGCTAAGTAATTTCACATCTTTGAAACTTAGATTGGAAAATTCAATTGCACACAGATGTATTTATAAGATGCTTATTAAGTGCCAGTCAACGAGCTCAAGTTGACTTGACAGCCCTGTCCTCATCCTTGTACAGGTGACGAGAGGAGAGCGCTAGAGAGAGTGCAATGGGATGACTGGCCAGTGGACGGGACCTGGGCAGGGGAGGGGGGCGTAGAATAAGGAGGGTGGAGACTTGAAGCTTCCCTGAGCAGGACAGAGGCAGCGAGGACGAGGGTGAGGAGAGGGAACTTGTGGTCAGAATTATTAGGATCTAAACACTTCAGATGCAGAAGAGCTCAGGGTACAAGGTAACATCACAGAGATTTTAAATTATGAGTGAATGATTGACCAATTTGTAGTTGAACTTCTGCAGGTAACCCCTTAAGAACAAAATACAAAGTTGATAGCAGGAGTTATTGTTGCCARGTCTTTTGGTGATGTCTTGGAATCTGACCATCCTCAAAAGGGTAGGTGGTTTCCCTGTCAGGACCCTATAAAATGGAATTGCGGGTCCAGGTTGCTCCAGACCATGTGAGATGCTAACCCACAACTCCATGGGAAGAGCTTTCACTAACGTTCATTACATGGCAGTGTGTCAAAATTTAGTATGAGATTTTTTTGATTTTCGATTTCTAGATTTTTAACTTAAAAATAGTTGTACTAAGTTGAAAGAATAGTACAATAAACATTTTAAACCCTTTATGTGGATCATCAATTGTCAATAATCGGGTATTTTGTTCTTTCACGGCGTATATAGTGCATGTGTGTGTACACATACGTACATACCTCACACATGTACATAGTAAATACAGGTATACATATTTTTTCAGAAACAATTAGAAGTAAGYGGCAGATGTGGTGACAGTTCCTCTTCAAATATCTCAACAGGTAACTCAGGAGAAAAAGGACATTTTCCTACATAATCATGTTATCATGACCCTATGTAAGGAAATCAGCACTGACCCAAGGAAACCGCCTGGTATGCAGTCCCTCTTCATACTCCTCCCAAATGTCTCCTGTAGCATTTCTTTCAGATCAGAAGTGTTGTCAGGTTTCATGCCTTGTTTTTGCCWTTTTTKKGGGGGGATTGTTTTTTGAAATATCGTCCCCTTAAGTTGCCTGAGCTGGCCTCGAACTCCTGGGCTCCAGTGATTCTCTCACCTTCCCAGTGCTAGGACTCCAGGTGTACCCCACATGCCCAGCGCTCCCTGCCTTTTTAAATGTTGTTTTTGTTGTCCATGACATTGAACACTTAGTGGAGGCCAAGGCCACTGCTTGAGAATACCCCGCTCTATGGATATGTATGATGCSCTCGTGCTCAGATCTGAGCTCAGGGTCTGGGCTTGAGCCCCGCCCAGGGGAAGTGCCCCCCTCATTGTGTCACTTCAGGAGCTCAGAAGGCCTGGGCTTCTCTGCGCTGGACTGCAGTGAGGACCACCAGGTGCCTCCACTGGGATAACTTAGTCTTGTCTCCTGTGATAACTTAGTCACCTGTGGGTGGTGCTTGTAGATCCGTCCTCTCAAAGTGGTCATGTCAGGAAAAGGGGTGGGGGGAGTCAAGGACAGTGGAAAAAAGCCAAAGGGGAAGTAAGGGAGGGTTAGTTGCAAGAGGTATGGCAGTCTTAAGGGGAGAGGGAAAACGCACATGTCACCTTCAGAATTATATCAGAGCTTCACTTAAATGGTGTGGGAAAGAAGACGTGTGAAGCTAGGGAGGTGTGACTGAGAGCTGAGAGCAGACTGGGGTCACTCTACCATTTCATTGGACGCTGATCCTGATTTAGGTTCAATGGCAGAACAATAAACCCCAACAGTAATCACTGAATTAGCATTGTTGACATTCCCACCTAGTTAATTTTCCTACTTCTTAATTAGGCCTTTATTTTAGACGTGTCTCTTTATTTTAATTATATCCAATTATATGTAATTGCATGTTCTTACTTCATTATGGCCATGAGCAGAAAACACTTTGCTGAAACAGTGTGCTGACTTCCCGGCATTCTGCCTGCTCCTCTTCCCAGGGTGTGCAGGGAAGCTGTATTCTCACCTGCTTGTTTCCCCTCTGGATGGGCCTGCAGTGCAGCTTCTTAGACACTGCTCCTCTGAGAGATGTCCTCTTGAAATTGAGGGAGGTTTTAAGACTGTTTATATCAATGGAAGACAGTGGAAGGGACATCATGTGACATCCCAGTCTAGGTCATGAAAGGTAATACAGCTTCCACTTTGCTCTGGGGAATACTCTTTTGACACCTTCTTCTGCCATGTACGCACCTAACTGTCCTGAGGCTGCCACATCAGCAGGAATGTCAAACAGCTTCCAATGAGACCACAGGGAGAGGCCCACAGGAGCGAGAGGGACTGGAGAAACAGAGATGTCTGGCCAGTTCCCATCCTCTCCCATTCCAGTTCTCTCTGCCAGTTTAGGATGTTGTTTTAAGCAACTGCATTTGGGGTGTTTTTATGTAGTGGCGCCAATGTTCCTCTTCCTTCCACTTTGCCACTTCCTTCTGAGGTGTCAGGACACCATTCTTTTGCTTAGTGTCACAAAATGAAGTGATTCAGTGGTTGAAATRCAAGAGCCAGACATTGGAGTGCAGCTGTGAAAGTGCAGTCTCTGAACACAGACCCACGGATCCTATCTTTGTCCCTACAACTTTCCTCTTTTTGCTGAGGGTAATGACACTTTAGCCCTGTGTTGCTTAGTTAAGAAAGGCTATCTTCTCCCAATACCCACAGTTCAGGATCTTAACAGGCAGAATCTGTGCAGATTAAGTCTAATTTAAACGGGTGGGTTGGCAAGGGCCTGGGCCTTGGACTAGAGAAGCAGTGCCCTAGTGTTCTGTCTCACTGCTTGGTTTTGGAGGTGAGACATGGTGGTGGCCTGAACTAAGCTAGTGGCCTTGGACTTGGAGAGAATGGGAAGAATTCAAGACATATTAGAAGACAGAATCAACCACTTGGTGACCAAATTGCTTGTGAGGTGTAGGAGTGGGTACAAGAAAGACCTGGCCTGAGTTTGTCAGGTGTGTTACAGTTGCCCCCATCAATACACGGCAAAGCAGGCGGAAGCCGGCTGCTCATCAACGGAACACCCAGGCAGTGTCTTCCCCACCTCAGACTTCTGTGACTCTTGGGAATTGTCAACCTTTCTTTAAACTACCTTCAAATGGCCTTAGTTTCTACAAACTATGCAAGACCTGGCAGGAAAACACAAAGCCAGGAGAGTAAATCGGCACTTCAAGTGCTTGCACTTCTTTTGTTCCCTATCTCTTGGGAGTTTAGTCTTTCCAAATTACCTATAACTCCTCAAAGACAAGGTCGTGTCACATCTATTGTTTCCATTCCCTGCAGTAACCCTAACGGGCGCTTAATAAATGTTAGTTGATTATTTGATAAAATTACTTTTTGATGATTATATATCGATACCATTATATCTCACAGAATGGTGATGATTATAAGGCATTAAGTTCTTTATGTGAAATATAAGTGACATATTATTTTTTGGGTTATCAGAATCTTCCAAGACCCTGTGCCCAGGCAGCTTGGATAAGTATTTGACCACAGTTTGGTTGTGTTATTTTGATAGAATGCGACCTATTCCATTACAGTTGAGTCCACTGCCATCTGCTGTTGACATGGTAAAGTGCCCTCCATTCTCTGCTCATCCTCTATTAACCTCAGCACTCAAAGGCTTTCCATGCTCTGAGCTTCAACTGACGGTGGGTGTAATTTTCTAATAGCTTCTGGTGTTTTAATGTAACAGCTCAGCAGATATTGACAATTCTCTCTCATGGACAAAAGAGTTATGGCTTTATAGAATATTGAAACATTTTTTAACTTAAAGGCATCATGCTATTTTCATAAGCTATGTTCAGGAAAACTAAAAGCCCATATTCAAAAGAGTCAATTTTACTCATCCTTCAAGTTCTTATTTCCAAATGATACTCTTTCTGTAAAACTTTCCCTGATTTTTATTATTTATTTATTTATTATAYCGGTGATTGAACCCAGGGGCACCTAACCTCTGAGCCACATTCCCAGCCCTTCTTTATTTTGAGACAGGGTCTCACTAAGTTGCTGAGAATGGCCTCAAACTTGCAATCTTCCTGATTCAGTCTCTCTAGCTGCTCGCATCACCAATCCTGGCTCCCTGATTCTTTATTCTGACAGAAATTCTCCCTTTCACAACTGGTAATTGTTATGAAGGTCCAAATAAGACGATAAAAAATTCAAGTTTTTAAAAAATAGCTTCCTAAATAATTTCCTTCACCACCCCTTCTCTGTTGGTTCTTTTCTTTCTTAGAGAAATAATTTAAATTGGACACTCAAGAATAACTGTGTTATACAGTGCTTAGCTTTGAGGACATTTTAGGAAGGACTAAAGCAGGGACAAGTGTTGGGTAAGCAGATGAGGTCATGTTATCTTTGAATACTCTTTGAGACTTTGGCCAACTCACTGTTCCTAGGACCACAGGGTGAGGCTTCAAAGGCTATAGAGTAAAAGCAGACCAGGACTCAAAATATACTTTCCATTTTAGAATAACAATGTCGGTTTAAAAGGGGGAGGAACAAGCGAGGATAAATTATATAATTTAATTCGCTGGCATGATTTAGGTGTCCAGCTGCAGTTCAGCTCGATTGCACCTAGCGGAGAGGCCATGGGTGGCGACCAATGCCTTGCATTTCGTAGCTCTAGATGGGAGTCGGGGCTCCGCGCAGAATGACCAGGTGGCCTCAGGCAAGTGGCCCGAGCTTCCTCCTAGGGTGCGAGGGAGTGTCTGCACCCACACCTAGGTCCTTCTCACAGCTATCTCCATGCCTCTTCTTGTTCGCGGTCACCACCGTGCGCGGAGCTCGGGGGCTGCGGCGGCTGCTTCTCCGCGGCCCCGGCGGTGCCGGACCGTCCACTAGACACCCTCACGGCGAATGCACGGGCTTCGTCACAGTCTTCGGCAGCCCAACGCTCCGAGGAGCCCTTGAGGGGGTACTATGCACGTGGAGGGAAGCGGGACAGAACCTCTAGTCGTAGGCCCATCTTCCCAGGCCTCTTCTCATAAGGAACGCACACAGAGGACGAGGAACGTGACGGAAAGGCAGGAAGGCAAAGAAAATCTTTCCCCGCATAGGAACGCAAATCTTCAGGTCTGGCTGTGTTTCCGGAGGCGTTTCTACCGGACCTAGGTGGGGACCATTTTTCCGGTTCTCACCCCTAAGTCTTCCGAGTTCTGACCTCCGCTACTTCCGCCCGGAGTTGCCGTAGGCTCCCGCTACGAGTAGCTGCTTCCGCCAGGAGTCCCTAGCGGCACTCGCTAGGAAGCTGGTCCCAAAGCGGCCTTCTCCTTCTGTCCTCAGCCCCGGCGGCGGCTAAGTTGGGTGGCTGGGTGGCGGCAGCGCTCCCTGTGGCCGTGCCCCGGGCCTGGGTGACGGAGAAGTGCGGGAGGGCCTGGCCTGGCCTGGCTGCGGCCCGGGCTTTCCGCGGCCAGCGCGGAGCCCGCAGGCCTCGCCGCGCCCACCGCTCCTGGGGCGGGGCGCGGCCTCCCCGCCCCGGACCCCGCCCCGCCGGCCAGCCCTGCGCCGGTCCTTCTCTCCAGCCCTGCGGCGGGGCAGCCGCCTCCAGGCCCTGGGCTCGGCGGGCGCCCGGCTCCGGCCGCTGGGGCAACATGGAGTTTGCGGAGCTGATTAAGACCCCGCGGGTGGACAACGTGGTGCTGCACCGGCCCTTCTATCCGGCGGTCGAGGGGACCCTGTGTCTGACGGGCCACCACCTCATCCTGTCCTCGCGGCAGGACAACACGGAGGAGCTGTGGCTCCTCCATTCAAACATCGACGCCATCGACAAGCGGTGAGTGGCCCTCGCGCCCCGTCCCCGCGGAGCCGGGATCCTGCGGTGGGCGCCCGAGGAGACGCGGCGAGGCTTTCCTGGCACCGGCCGCCCCGCCAGCCGGCCCGCCTGCCCAGCGAGCCCTCAGTGGCCTAGGTTCCGAAAGCCCCATCCAGTGAGACCTGGTTTCTGTTGGACCTGGTGAAGGTCTCCGGAGATCACGTGGTTGCTGTCATCCTGATGATCATTTTTGGTACATAGCATCATTTGGATGGATTTTCAGTGTTTTAAGTTTCTTTCTCCTTGCCCCATCACATTCCTTGGATCGTTGTCGACTGTCAGTTCATGAAATTGTGATTGGATAGGGTTTAGATTAAAGTCTTCACTTTTTAAAAAAATATTTTATTTATATGTGGTGCTGAGAATCRAACCCAGTGCCTCACACATGCTAGGCAGGCGCTCTACCACGGAGCCACCACCCCAGCCCCAGTCTTCACCACTCTTACGGAAAATTTAAAGAACTGAATATGAAGTATTGAGTAACTACATGCCACAAACTCTTTTATTTCCCCCTTAAAATGTTCAGTTTATATTTTATTTCTTCTGGGTCATCATTTTAATAACGGGAGATTATAATGTCTCCTATGCATTTACTCGGTGGTTCAGTCTTTGTAAAGAGCAAGGTTGGCTATTAAGGAAAAGTATGAACTAATTAATTCTCTCTCTCTCTCTCTTTTGCACTACTTATTTATTTATTATTTATTTATTTTTTAAACAGAGAGTGAGAGAGAGGAGAGAGAGAGAGAGAATTTTTAATATTTATTTTTTAGTTCTCAGCGGACACAACATCTTTGTTTGTATGTGGTGCTGAGGATCGAACCCCGGCCGCACGCATGCCAGGCGAGCGYGCTACCGCTTGAGCCGCATCCCCAGCCCCTCTTTTGCACTACTTTTTATCTTTGCAAAGCATTGTTGAAAATCAAAGTTATACTTCCATCTACACTTAAATTTCCCATCTTCCTGATGTTCCTGTGTATTCTGCGAGGAGAAGGCACACAATTTACAYTGAATACATGAATGACAACAACTTTTTCTGTAGTTCATGTTCTAGGCCTACCCCACTTTCCTTACACTTTTTTTTTTTGTTTGTTTTGTCTRTTCTTTTTCATGAACCTTGTTTGCATTTTCTTTCATGACCCCTTTTTGTAGCCAGTCCTCAGGACTTTTTGTGGCTCATATAAATCCTGCATTCTCTTGTCTCTGTATTTTATTACCTTTTCCTTTGGAAGAATACTTTGTCCCTCCCCAAGTTTGTTAGACATTTATCAAATGCCATTAGGTTCCAAATGTTTTGTGAGGTATTAAAGACACCAGGATGAATAGAATTGTAGTTCTTGTCTTTCAGAAGTTCATAGGCTTTCATCTGTTTCAGTTTAACCAGTTTGACTGCCATCTCCTTCACAGGTTCTGTTAATTCCATAATTGAAAGCAGGTCCCCTCACCTTGAAATCCAATATCTCTTAATTATCTCTTTTTTCATAGGCATATATTCATATTTGCATTTTGATACTTAGATACATATTAGCTTTTTGAAGCCAGGGCTCACATCTGATTATTTCCTTCAAAACTTGTAACCATGGCTTGGCCTGTAGGCACATAAGAAGTCAGATTGACCACTGAATGGTCATATTAGTAGTGTCTCCATGATCATCAACTCTCTTTTCTGATTGACTTCTATTTATGGTTACTTTTCACTCATTTATTTTCCCATAGTAGCATTTATTGAGCTTTATCAGGTGATAAAGAAGAAGTATGTAAAGCTGGACTTTTTAATCTGTTATGGGAAAATGACAAACTGTAGACATATTGATCCTTTCCCTGTAGTAGAAAGAGCATGATCATGGCCAGGTCAGAGTTTAATTGTTATTCTCAAGAAATATTTACTTTTGTGTATCTTTTACATGCTGAGCATTATCTGGGTTCTGCAGGTGCCATGGTGACTGATACTGACAGGAGCTTATGTTCTAGTGGAGGAGATGGACTATTACATAAATCAACAGATATTATATAAATCAATAGCCGGCATGGTGGCATGTGCCTGTAATAGCTTGTCATCTCAGCAATGTGGGATCTGAGGCAGGAGGATTGCAAGTTCAAGGCCAATCTTGGCAAATTAGTGAGGCCCTGACTCAGAAAATGCATTATTGAGGAGCAAAGGTGGAAGCAGCAGATCCAGTTAGGAGACGACTGAGTAGTTGAGATAAAAGATGATGGTGACTTAGAATAGGTAGTTAGATTTGGGGTGTGTTTTGAAGGTTGCACTGCATGCCCTGCTGATGAACTGTAAATGGAGTGAGAAAGAGAAAGTCATTAAGAATGATTCCTTTGGTTTTACCTCATATTAGGTAGGTGTCCTTGGGCAAGATACTTCACTTCTCTGAACCTCAGTTTTGTCACTTAAAAAGAAGATAAGCCCTCTGATATCAGGTAGCAACTTACATTTGAATAATGCTTTGTAAGTCTCTAGAATACTTTGTTGTACATTGTTGGCCTTTTCCTTTTATGGACTTCTGATGCAGAAAATTGAGATAATCATGATAATATGAGATGACTCATCATATTCATGATTGACTCAGTAAAGGTTTTGTTTTTTATTTTATTCTCCCTCCCTATTTTCACCCCCATTTCTCCCATCCTGCACAATTCCTGTAGGCAGCCATATTAGGTGTTCTGTAAGGTAGCTAGCACTGTTGTGCATGGGTGTGTAGTTTACTTGATCCGCATTATACCAGAGATCTTGTTCTGTTTCTTAATGTTTTAACTCAGTATCCTTTTTCAGGATCTCTTCATACTGCTATATGTATAGCTACTTCACCGTTTCTGATGTTAACACTGAATTCCAAAGTATCTGAGACATTTTACTTTTCAGACCTTTTCCATAACTTCCAGCTCCTTGATGTCACAACCCTGATGAATATCATGTCCCATCCTTTTCTCGTGCAAGAGTTTTTCTGAGATTGTGCTTAGTATGGAATTGACCATAAAGTGGGTACATATCTCATTGCTACTTTGCTCTCAAAATGACAGTTTGTAGGGGTTCCTTGTATGCTCTGTGGTTATTGATTCTCCAGTTAGTCATTGCAGACAGCTGTTCCTAGTTTGTCACTCAACTGTTAACTTTTCTGGTCTGTCCTTTGTTGAACCAAAGTTCTTAATTTTAATGCAAATTCATAAATTTTTTATTTTATGGTGTGTGCTTCATGAGTCTTAAGAACTCCTTCACTGTCTCAAAGTTACCACAGTGTTCTTCACATTTTTTTTATAATGGCTCTTAGTTTTACCCATCACTTGTAGGTCTATATTTCATTTGAATTCTGCCTTTATTTCAAATGTGATAGGAACTCAACGCTTTTTCTCCATTAAGCAAGCCAGTGTTCTTAACATTGTCTTCTAACACCAGTCATATATGAAGTTCTTATATTGTGTGTCTGTTTCTGAGCTCGCTCTCCCCTAATCTGTTGGCTTGTAAATCTTTTCATTACCATACTCTTTTTACTTCTATGGGTTTATGATGACTTAAAATCCAGTAGTGCTAGTTGCTCCTCTTCTTTTTCCTTCCCCCTTTCTCCTCCTCCTCCTATTCCTCCTCCTCCTCCTATTCCTTCCTCCTTATCTTCTTCTGAGTTGTGGTCTTGTTGTATTGCTCAGATTGATCTGGAATTCCTGCACTAGGGTCATCTTTCTGCCTCTGTCTCCCAAGTAGCTGGAATTACAGATGTAAGACACTGTGCTTAGCTTCCTCTTCTTTCTAAAAAGGTTGGCAACTGTGTGAACCTATCTAATAGACCATGTACTTTTTGAGATTTTGCCATTTTCATAGGATTTGAAGAAACTTTACTTTAGGCTGGTGACATAACTGTGGTAGAGCATTTGCTTAGCATGCATAAGGTTCCAGATTTGATCCCCAGCACCAAAACAAAAGACAGACAAAATTTTATTTAAAATAAGTGCAGGCTCACAGGGAAGTTGCAAAAATAGTGTACACAGGTCTGTTAGTTCTTGGCTCAGCTTCCCCCAATGGGGCCGTCTTATATAAATGTAATATAATATCAAAACTAGGATATTGACCCTGGTGTTTTATTGTTAACTAGACCACAAACTTTTTGGTACTTTTTACCAGTGGCTTTATCTAATGTTACAAAGTATAATGGATGGCTACAGGAGTTAAAAATAATTGTTACTTTTGTAAACAAAAATGCAATGGGGCAGAGGCTATAGAAAAATTATTCAAACATGACTTTTACCTTAAAGAATTATTTTATATGTTTAATTCTTATAAGGTAAGAATAAACTAGTAAGTGTAATGAAGTATTTAAAGTGTTATGATAGGCATATATACAGGGCATGAATAGGACAATAGGAGAAAATAATAAAATAGGATAGAATTTGACAATTGATGTGAATTGAGGGAATTTTGGGGGAACTCTTATACTTTTAAAAAATTTTCTTGACTCAGTAGTCTTCAGCAGTAACTGGTAGAAACATTAGATGAATGACTAAAGAATAATTGTTCATAGCCTTTTTTTTTTTTTTTTTTTGGTCCTGGGGATTTAACCCAGGGGTGTTTGCAATTGAGCTGCATCTGTAGCCCTTTCTATTTCTTATTTTGAGAAAGGTTCTTGCTAAGTTGCTTAGGGCCTCCCTAAATTTCTGAAACTGGCCTTGAACTTGTGATCTTCCCATTTCAGCCTCCAGTGGGGCTCTGCTCCATAGCATTTTTGTTTACAAAAGTAACAATTATTTTTAACTCCTGCAGCCATCCATTGTACTTTGTAACATTAGATAAAGACAATCAGACTAACAGTAATTTTTAAAAAGGAGTTGGTCTGATAAAAATAGATGATGTGGAAATTTACAAAAGGATAGTCCTGTATGTCTCTCTTTTAAGTGCTATTTTTTAAACAGAATTTGATTATTGTGTGTATTTTATTTCCAGTGCAAGCAGAATGAGAGGGATTTTG